TAGCTATGCTCAATATTGTATGCCTCCACTGTAAGCAGATCATGCGCCTGCGTCATTTACAGCTGTTTGCTGGCAACTTGCAATGGAAACAGGATTCGCACGGTAAACACATATCCTGGGCTAAATATTAACTAAATCTCTAGTTAAGCAGCACAAATATTAAATGGAACTGGATGTGCTGCGCCTAACGGCGGACTATTACCACAAATTACTCGATGCGGAGCTGCACATCAACGAATGGGTTCAGGATAGGCAAGTCAATGGGGGATCACAGGCAAATCCGATGTATTATAATATATATACATACATTGCTTGCAGATTGTTCATGGCGGAGCCCCTCTTTCGTTTTATCAGCGTTTACCTGGAGCCCAGCAATCTGTTCAATGTGCTGATACCTCTGCTGGGCATCTGTGGACAGGATTTGCTCACGCATCTGGTCTGCGCGCTGAGTTTGGTCAGTGCCGTCAGCTCGTTTGAGAAGTGGCAAGTGCTGCAGCTGCAAAATTATTGTAATTGTCGTTTAATGGAACTTCATTCGCAGGATCTATCCGGACTGGCGACCCCTCTGGCGCCTGCGTGAGCTCTTTGCCAATGAGTACGCCATTCGGCCGAGCGTCGCCCTGCAGAGTCACGATCTGAGCTGCGAGACGAGCGGCGGATTGCCATGTGCCCACAGCATGGCATGGACGGCTCTGCTAATCGTGGTCAGCATGCATCTGCCCATGAAGAGTCGCTGCTCCGGCTGGCGGCTAGCCATGTACGGCCTGATTGGCTGCTGCATCTTGAGCATGTGGCTGAGTCGCCTCTATCTGGCCACCGAGTATCTGCATCAGTGCCTCTTGTCCACTTATCTGGCGATAAGTCTCTTGGCCAGCTGCCAGAGGCATTTGCAATCCCTCTATGCCCAGCGATGTAGTTGGCCAGTGTTGATGGTTCTGCTGCTTGGCTGCCTCGCCGTCGCCGTTTACTTTCTTAAGCTACACCTGGACATTGATCCGCATTGGTCTGTGCGGCAGGTGAGTGGCTTGAAGAGTCTCAATTGCAGTGTTTTCGATTATTAAATTACATTTTCTGCAGGCCTTTAAATGGTGCGCCGAGCCCACATACATGCGACATGAGAGCAGTCCCATCTTTCTGCTGGCACGAGATTTGGGCAATCTAATGGGCGTTGCTCTTGCCTTACCTGTGGCGCAGCTGTATGTCTATAAGTTCTTGTATTATATTTATATTTGCATTAATATTGTCTTTACTTTTACTTGCAGAAGAAATTACGATTCGAAATGTTCACATCGCTTTGTTGGCATTGCTATTGTAGAGTTGCTTAACTATATCCTGCGCCTTGGCACTCCCAAACAGCATGGGCGCTTTCTCTTCCTGGGCTATGAGTTCATACGGAATGCCCTGCACTCACTGATACTGGTCAAGCTACTGCCGAAGCTCTTAAGTAGAAAGAGTTGAATTTTGTAAAATAATTTATTTATAAATTGTTATTTTTCAAATCTTTCAAACAAATAATAAAAATCACGCTCTTAGACGTAGTATTTTTAAAAAATAAATTGCTAAATGAAATCAAATAAATGAAGCCTATTTATTCTGTTTTCTGTTTCTGTTATTTGCGCAGCTGACTTAACTTAAAATCACTCAACTATTGAGTGCTGTTAATTAACAGCAAGCTTACGATCCACTCTGTTAGTTAACATTATTGAGAAATTTAACATTTGTCACACTGTAATCCACTGATTCGCGTTTCTGTTCGCCTGGTACTTCGACCAGATTTTCGGGCAAAATTGACGACGAATTGAATCAGCGTCGGCTGCCCCGTGAAGATAGGCAATGATTTTTGTATTTTTGATGTCTGTAAAATGACCCCTTGAAACTTATTTTGTATTACTAAAATACAAACGTTGAGCGATATGCCAAAACAAATTTTAGCTTGATTGAAAGTTTTGGCATTTAAAAATTTTTATTTTCATTGGTAAAGTTGTTTTGTGATTTTATTTTTAATACCAGTTTTTATTTGTTCCAATAAAATACTACACAATAAATATAAAGCCTTGAATAGTGATCTTCGAACTCAAAATTAGTTTTTATTTGTATTTTAAATATTTTGTTTACAAACATTCGTTTTTTATTAACAAAATACGTAAAATAAAGCTCGTTAAACATTTTATTATGTACGTGGTCTACAATATATATTTCCAATGTAGCATATGTCTTATAATTTTGCGGGTGAATTGCATAAGATCAGAAGAAGAGCGTAGTCAAATCCAGGTGCAGCGACAGCTTTTGAGAATAATTTTTATTTATTATTGGCTGAATTTAAAGAATAAAGAACATAGCATACTCACTCGTATGAAACTGATTTGCTTAGCAAAAATG